CAAATTGTTTATATTACTTAATTGTGCTGATAGTGAAACTTTCAGCAACAAACCTTTAGAGTCACTCAGAGAAAATTTTATACAGACACTACGAGAAAGTGGCTTGGCTAAAAATATACAATTAAAAAAGTGGTTGGGGGCAAAAATAAGTAAATAAAAAGTAAGTTTTGTAAAGAAAAAAACAAAGTTAGATCTCAATAAGGTTAATTTGTGCATCACTATTCAACTAGACAAAAAAATATAAATTCCATATAAATTCATATTATTATTACAGTGATGAAGACCACGCAATGTATGGAATTATAGTAGTGGCATCAATGATTCTCGTACGGTAGGTTTACTTTAGGATGGATCTCGCTATTATTGGAGTCAGTATAAACGGTGAAGAAAGCCAAGTTTATGTTTAGCAAACAATGTTTATTAGCCTTAAACCTTGTGTCATTTAGCAAGAAGGTAGTTTTATGCTGGCTTTACACAGGACCAGTTTCATTTCATCATCATTGCGTCAACACAGTTAATAAGGCAAAACAGGCTGATCTTCCCTAACACAATGATGAGACGTAAAACATGTCATATTAACTATACTCGTACGACATACGATAACACGTTAACATGTATAACTAGAGTTAGCAGAATTAAAAAGTATTGTTTATACAGTTTTTTTCAGAGTTTGCAGTTTTGCAGTTACAGTATTAAGAATTTTGCCTAAATACAAATGACTAATAAAATGCATGGTACGTTTCAACTACTCAATTGATTAAAGATAACGAATATTGTTGGAGTAAGGGTGTAATACACGTTATAGTAAAGATAAAAATGGATGAATGTAACATAATAAAGATAATAGATAAGTAGTTGAAGGCATATGAAACTGTTCAACAGGACTATTTAATAAAATGTAATACCTTCTTCTCGATCATTAGAACAGTGAAAGATGTTCTTAAAACAAGGAGTAAAACGTAAGACTAAGTGTACCGTATGCATATCTGCTTAGCGTACATATATTTATTCGCCTATTGGTTAGATTAACGGCAAAATAGGTAGCGAACAAAGGAGGTCATACTTAAATAGTGTAACAAATATTTAAATAACGACGTTTTATATGAGGCGTTATAAACCTCGACATGATAACAGCTCAATAATGGTAATACACCGTATGCAGTATCACTGTATGGCGTGCTAGACCACAGTTAGTGGTTTGTGAGCTAAAGGCATGTCCCGACATGTTACTGCTGGCTATACCACTGTATCTACCACTATGGTATATAGCTCAAATGGTGATACACCGTATGCAGTATCACTGTATGGCGTGCTAGACATCAGTTAGTGGTTTGTGAGCTGAAGGCATGTCCCGATATGTTACTGCTGGCTATACCACTGTATCTACTACTATGGTATATAGCTCAAATGGTGATACACCGTATGCAGTATCACTGTATGGCGTGCTAGACAACAGTTAGTGGATTGTGAGCTGAAGGCATGTCCCGACATGCTGACTATACCACTGTATCTACCAGTATTGTATATAGCTCAAATGGTGATACACCGTATGCAGTATCACTGTATGGCATGCTAGACAACAGTTAGTGGATTGTGAGCTGAAGGCATGTCCCGACATGCTGACTATACCACTGTATCTACCAGTATTGTATATATAGCTCAAATGGTGATACACCGTATGCAGTATCACTGTATGGCGTGCTAGACAACAGTTAGTGGATTGTGAGCTGAAGGCATGTCCCGACATGCTGACTATACCACTGTATTTACTACTATGGTATATAGCTCAAATGGTGATACACCGTATGCAGTATCACTGTATGGCGTGCTAGACATCAGTTAGTGGTTTGTGAGCTGAAGGCATGTCCCGACATGCTGACTATACCACTGTATTTACTACTATGGTATATAGCTCAAATGGTGATACACCGTATGCAGTATCACTGTATGGCGTGCTAGACAACAGTTAGTGGATTGTGAGCTGAAGGCATGTCCCGACATGCTGACTATACCACCGTATCTACCACTATGGTATATAGCTCAAATGGTGATACACCGTATGCAGTATCACTGTATGGCGTGCTAGACAACAGTTAGTGGATTGTGAGCTGAAGGCATGTCCCGACATGCTGACTATACCACCGTATCTACCACTATGGTATATAGCTCAAATGGTGATACACCGTATGCAGTATCACTGTATGGCGTGCTAGACAACAGTTAGTGGATTGTGAGCTGAAGGCATGTCCCGACATGCTGACTATACAACTGTATCTACCAGTATTGTATACACCTTGAATAGTGATACACCGGTGGTTAGCGGGTTTCTGAAGACGTTTCATGGCACGTGACTTCCTACTAAATTACTGTATCTACAAGTATTGTGTAGTAAAATTGAAAGAGGTTTGATAAAATAAACACTAAACAACAGTTTCAGCGATTTAAAAAATAACATCAAGGTAAAACTATTTTTTTACAGGAATTGTAATTTTTATAAGAACCATTAGGGCACGTTCTTTATTTTCGTTGAATGTTAATTTACAAAATTTAATTTATAAAATTTAAATATTAAAATACTTATTTCACTTCCTTATATACATAAAAACAACAGTTTTACGTAAAATTAAGACGTAAACAAATAGTATTTCAGCTGTCTAAGAAACAAAATGTGCAAATATAATCGTAATGTCTACTAGGCGATGAATTAATATTGACGATAATTTATGACTAACAAATATTTAAACACATTACTGTATTTATTATAAGAGCAAAGAATTAAAACAACCCGAGTCTTGCAGATTTATAACTGCAATTACCGCATAGTAAACTTTCTTTTGCAACTCTTAGGTAAACTGAGCGATAAAATACTGTTAAACCTCGGGGCTAAACTAGCAGAAAATAGCAGCGGAATGTACAATGAACAAATACTCTGGTTGGCATGTATATTGTAAACATCATCGAACCGTACTCTCTTCTATTCTTACATTGATATACATTGCCAATTTAAAGTACCGAATCATTGATTAAGGTCATAGATAAAATGTGGAAATTATTAGTCGGATGGGGCCTACAGTAAATGTTTGTTTTTTTTTTCTTTCACGATTTTAACAAACTAATTCATCTTTACTATATTTTTTTGCATTGTATTAAATTGATACAGGTAAATTGTTTAAGATCTAATACAGTAATAGGTAACATTAATACTTTAAATATAGCTAAATCTCCGTCAAAAAATTTATTCTCTGTAAATAATCTCGCATTTAAGCAAGGGATAAAAAATATAGTTTCTTGACTATTTGAAGTAGAAAGTTTGAAGTAGAAAGGACAAAAAATAATCAGATTATGAACCAGAACAGTATAAACAATTTCATATTTACGTTTAAACTAACATTATTTGTTCCCAAAGTTTAAGTTACATTTTTTTCAAGACTTGTGAATTTATCAATAGACTGGTATCAAGAAATTCCAGTCAAACGGTACAATTAGGTGACGTCACTTATAGTAAACTAATAGACAGTATTGCCAACAGCCACAAACACAACACCGTCGGGACATACAATGAATGTATGTTAATTCAATATCATCCCCCGTGCTTTGTCGTAATGCCCAGACCATGTCATTGGTGTAAGCAGTTGATTGTTGCAATGACAATGCCCACTGGCCATTGGCCTACGGTAAATAGACATTCAATCATTGGAGCCGGGTGAATCAATTAATGGGTGTTGTGCAGGTCATGTATTCCTAAGTCCCATTGTTGTGGTTAGTAATATGTGTACTTAACATTTACTAATAATTTACATTGTGTGACAAGTAATTCATCATAACGAAATTTGCTACGTAAGATATTTCTCAATTTCTCTATGTTATTGAATGTAAAACCTTATAAAAAAGATATGTCAAAAGAATTGTACGGTTAGATAATTTTTTATGACACCAAAACTCAAGAGAGTTTATTTTAAGTAGAAAACGAGTGACGGGTGAGTTTTAGAACAAATAAAACTGGTTCTTATTGACTCGAGCTATATAAATGTTACTGAACTTTTCAGGATCGAACCAGCAATCTTGCGACTACAATGCGATTGCAGTACAATAACTACTCAGATAGGAAATTCTCATGAATAATACAGTGTGTGAATTAACTGAATATTGAGTGGAAACACAAAACTTTAATTGTACCTACGTGGACGACAATAACTTAATTGTTGAACAGTATCGACGAATTTCTTCCTTAAATATCGTCATAATGTCAAATTCTCAAATCATCCAATGCAGTAGACCACACATTTCATAAGATTACGTATATAGGAAAAATTCCAAATCCTATCCATCCACTAATTGTTAAAGTTACAACAACATAGTTGTAAGGGTTTAGAAAGATAAAACGTATATGATGATATTAACCCCATTTAGGTTAACCTGAAGTACAAATAAAACAGTAGAGTCTGAAAAGCGTTCAGTTCTTGTGGTTGCAAAGTAAAAACCATTTAATGGAATCGCTGAACGAAGGAAAACTAATTTAAGAACGCAAAAGTTCATTTCCGATCTTTTCGATTAAACTTGGAAACAAATCCTGCTTATTCTGGGTCACCAGTTTTCGGTCATAACGATTAATTTCTCCCCCCTTTCCACCGAACTCCCAACTTTACCAATATCGGGACTATTTCGTTAAATCAACAATGGGTAGATTTGTGTTGAAAAATGGAAAACAATACGGTTTGTTCAATGTCTAACATATATATTTGAAAGGTTATAATAATCAAAGTATATAATAAATGTTAATGTTTTATTTTATTCGCTGTAAATATATAAAGTAAAAAAAAATTACTTAGCTTTTTAACAAAATACAACTTTGGATAGAGAACAGTAAAAAGAAGAGCGCCAATAAGGTTTGTTTAGCAGATTTGTCCGCATAGTTGTGAATAACAAAAGATGTTTTGCTTAACAACACGTAAAACTCCCACCCTTCAAAAACTTAGTTTATAAACTGTAAAGCATCTTACCAGAGTCGAATAATTTCTTAAACGAAGCTCAAAATGTCCTCACCATTTTAGTCCTGAAACAAAAGATATTTAAATATTTAACTAAAAAAAGGAGTAACTTAATTTTACATCATAAATAAAAAAAAACGATTAAACAGTTTTAAAATAGTAAATAAACACAAAACATAGAAAGCAAGTTTATGGTTTTTGACAGTCCAATTGCACTAAATGCCCCAACCAGCTTCGCATGTTCTGCAAACTTCTAAATCGGAATGAAACTTTTCAGTTTTTAAAAAATATTTTAAGTTTCACATTTAATTTTCTTAAGTTTTGCCACTTTTTTAGTTCTCGCAAAATGAAATAGTTATAGATCTACTTTATTTTACCGATAGGAATATAATATTTAACAAAATATTTTGTTACGTGAGGAAGAATTAAAGTGTTTTCAAACAATTGTATTTCGTCATTAAAGCATGTGTAACGTTCTATTAACAAGCATTACTGAATTAGAAAATTCAATAGGTTGAATCTATAAAATTGAGCTAAGAGATTCATACCATTTTAAAGTGATTTACATACAATAAAATCCGTTTTTGCATACCTCAAATAATACCTGAAACAATACAGGAATTTCATATTAATGTATAAGCCTATACAAGTTTTTCCTTGCGCTTTAAATGCGGGCGTTCGCTAAAAATGCAATTAATCTGAATCAACTACACGAGCATGTTGCTGATGACATAATTTGTTAACTAGGTTGATGAAAAGTAATGTGCGTGGAGCAATAAAGTAATGGAGCAGGGCGTGACGAGAGATGGTAATTTGGTTCGGAAATGAGTCCACATTGTCTTTGCACCTAACACATCGTCACGTTGATGTGAAAACCAGAAGAGCATTAAATGTTAAACCATGCAGCGCTAATCCGATTTGCGAGAGTTATTAATATCGATTAATTCGTTAAATAATCATCCGGTGGCAATATCGACAGAGTCAACTTAAAAGTAAATACGAATCTACTGACTCAACGCTTCCTGATAAATAGTTAAATTCAAATATTTTCGTCAAAAACCTTTTTATATACTCTATTATGCGATTTCGATTATCGTAATAATGCTATACTAAATATAATATCTCTTCTCTGTGAAGACATTTGGTATTTTATAAATAATGTTTGTCTCTCCTGGATTATATTTAGAAATGTGAAAAATGTTTAATAAATCCCGCAGAGCACGGGATTTTGTAATTGGATCTTTGAAGGTGAGAGAGCAGCTTTGAAGAGATGCCGCAGACGGATATGGTATTGTAGATAACAACCTTTATTAGAGTCTTTCTCCCAAGCCTGCGAGTTACGTTTATTACACAGTATTCTTTGTTTAATATATTCAAATCTAAAAACGTTTCCCCGTAGGATCTTGAGTTCCTCGCAGCTTGTACCGGAATTTCGTCGCTTGACATTAATGCCATGTAATAATATAACCTCAAGAATACAGTCTTTAAAAATTTAAACTACATACTTAGTTGTAACATAGAATTTGAAATACTGTGCATAAATATAAGTGTAACATATTTTAACTTCTTTTCTATATTTTAATTAAATTGAAACCCCTATTTTGGATTTGTGACTTTTTCAAATCCAAAACTGGATGTCTTACATTATTGGCAAACCAAGAATGATATAAATGATGTGATAGCATTCGACAAAATATGGCACAATGGTAAGAATCAGATAATAGTTCCCGTGGAGTTCATAGGCAATGGCGCTAGGTAAATAGAGCGCAAAGTACGTCATTGCCGCTCGTAAACATTCAATTTCGAAAGCGCCAATGACTGTTTGTGCTCATAATATACACAATATCTTTCTACCACCATAATTAACTCATCATAACTCACAGATTACTTTTTCGCTGTATATAAAATGTCATTTAGGTTAGGTTTGCTTTTTTAGGTTGTGTTATCAAAACACAAGGTAGCGTATCCACGGCAGTGGTTGGTAAAGTCCAAGAGTGAAATCAGCCAATAAACTAGCGGAAATGATCCATTCCCGCTCTAGAGAGTTAATTATCTATTCCCGCTCTAAAGCGTTGAGATCTATTTTGCGTACAGTTTACATATTTGATGACATATGTGATAATTCCCATGCAGTGATAGGGGAAAAAATCATTGATGGATTGGGTTACTGTCTGTTATTGCACTTTTTTATGATGTAAACTATCTTGACCAACTAACGTCTTGACTATTTTATGAATGTAATTTAAAGCAAATTAAACAAATGAGGAATACTAAAACGAAATAAAAATTAAATACATAGAAATGCACAAAAAAATTAAGGTATACAGGAAGAGCTGTTTTATCCTTTCCATAAGTTTGACCCAAAAGCAGGGGTTTTCAGGTAAATTTAGGTTTTGCACCTCTTGTATTAGCACCATCGCGTATAATGAGGCATAAAATATTCAGGGACAGCTCAATATCAAGTTAGGTATTAATGATGCAACAGTTATTGGCCCAATGCCAGACATTTCAGTTTACCAGTGGCCTGATAGAACGCCGGCTAACTAACAAGCAAACACCAACACTAATATAGGTATTTTCACGAAACAGTTGTCTTATACAAACTGCTCCTGAAATCCCTACTTCTCTGTATAGGACTCACTCCTTGCTCTCAGATAAAATCTTTTACAATAGATAGATTATATAGTAGTAGTTCTATCAAAGTACTATCTATCTTGATGATTTATAAAGTTCTTCATTTTTTTAAATCAATTCTAACGGAATTTTAGCAGTAATCAGGTTTATTATAATGTAAGTAGTATTTAAAATCAACGAAAGGATAATTGGATTAACGTCATACCAACCAAAGGAGACGAAGGAGTTCAAATACACGCTATATACATCGTGCTGAAAATTAGAGGTGATTCGGAATACTACCCCCCGGAAAACCGACCTGCCAGGTGAAACGTGACGTCACGAAATCTGCAAACTAACAAAATATGACAGCCCTGTCCGAGACTGGAATACTACTTTCGGGCCAAAAACGTCATTTGTTGATATTTATGATTCATACCGGGTATTTTTCTAGTAATCGTGCTACCTCCCTAGCAAAATGTGATGCGATGTATTAAAGTTAATTTCATACGTACGTAACCATCATTATAATTTTATCACTTGTCTCATTGTAATATTAATTCGAGTAATTCTACAGAAAAGGTTTGTAGGGAATATATATCAAACAGAATTTTGAAATGTCACAGCAAGTGTTACAAGTTTAGTTAGTTAGGTTCGGTTAGTTTAGAACAGTTTGACAACAAAACTTGAGTGTCCATGACTGGTAAACTGCCCCCATGTCTGATGTCAATAGGAACCTGTTTGAGGGGGGGGGGGGGAGTGTTCAGCCGACTCAAATTAAATGAGTTGTGTAGGCCTACACTTAGCAGTCCTCGAACGAAGCAGAGCATTACCATGGTAAAGAAATGTGTAGAAGCAAAACAAATAACACACAATGTAAATAATGTTTAAGCAAATGCAAGTTTTATCTTTAAATACTTGCCCTTGCATTGGCTTTACTGGGTTTATAAATTACACACCAATAGTTATAAACCGAAGTATTCTTTTGAAAATCAACTTGTAAGAAAATTAGTTTATTTTATTCTTGTCTTCAAACGAGGTCAGGAAAACTGTGTTCTCACGTTGTACCTTTAGAACATGAAAACATCCAGCTTCTTGAATAAAACATAAAATTCCGACTTTGCCTCGTCTGAATGCTGTAGTGAAGGAGGATGTAAAAAAAATGTTAACTGTTTAAACTTCTTACACATTCACTCTGAAGTAAGCCCCTCTGCACCTTGATCTGCATCTGTATGCACCTTGAAACAAAGTTTTTGAATATTCTCCACTTTAATTTGCCTCTAAAAAATAATAATAGTAATAAGGATGAATGGTAAAAATATATATTATATTAAGCAATGAGACATTTTAAAATGCTGTCACTGACTTATGAATAAACCATTAGGTTTTTTTTAAGTTTGCAGGCAAATTTGTGTTTGAAACGTTTAATCCTTACCTAACGTTTAGGTCCTTAATATATCGCCGCAAATACTTCAATAGTAATACTCAATGAACGTTGTGGATAGATTTAAACAACAAATTAGTATGTTTAGATTGATTCAAACTATTTATCAAACACGATTGCACATTTCAGGCACATATTTACCCCACTTAGTAATTCAGAACATTTCCTTTCCTAGGATAGATGCATGAAAGGAGCGACGAAATCGAAACGCGTTCAAGTGGAAGGCTCAATGAGTTGCAATATTCAGTCATGTAGAGTGGACGAGACATCGAATGCGGCGAAATGGTCGTCCAACACATTCATGCTTGGTTTGTATGATACGAGTATTTCTCTGAGAAAAATATGGATATAAACCATATTCGAATAGAGCGAGTTGATTTATAATCGTATTGTTAAATCTGAAGCCTGTATTGATATGTGCTTTATGTTGGTGACGTTTGTGTGCGATGAGGTCGACTTATTGTTTCTCTCTCTATTTAGTACGAACTGTACTTTGATGAATGATTAAACACATTCCATGGGTCAAGTAGTAATATATATTGTTAAAGTAGATAGTTAAAAATAGTTTGCATTATTTTACTATTCTCTTCGGGTGATCAATATGGTAAAAAATATTTACAAAGAAGTATATATCAGAGAATCGTCATCTTTTTAGGTAAGCTGAGAGGAGTTTGCATGCGTTTTCTGTCCGGTTACTTACAAAAATGGTTTTGTTGTTTACTTTTTTTGTTTCTGGTTATTCCACCCAAACCAAATATTTTAGCAAAACGTTTGTTTTTCTCCAGGTGTGACCAGAGTCCTTGGAGCCTAGACGCTTTAACTCATAAAACAATAAAAAATATTAAAATAATTTAATCACACAGTTTACTAGATGTTTAAATTTCAACCACATTGGTATTTGAAAAAAATATTTTGAGATGGTAAATAATTCAGCGGCTGTTTCAAAATAAATAAATTAACATTGCTCTTATGGCCGTTGGCTTCCATAGACTCCCTTGGAAATCAATT